TGATGCAGTATCTGGTTGGAATATCGAACAGCGCTGCTCCGCAAGTCAAGTCGAATTTTTTTTTCCGTCCATGAACCGTTCGGTGGTGCTTCGGTATTTACTGGTGGCCTAAGTGTTTAACTACATTTCCAAAGCGATTTCTTAATAGAAGAGAATTTCTTTCTTTTTCATTTGAAGATCATATTTTTAATAATTTTTGACACGGCACCAGTTAAGGCGTGTCTGTAATACAAGGGACAGTAAAAAGCTTGTTCGGTTTTTTATTGATTTTAAAAATAAGATAACTTTGTGTAAATTTGTCCATTTTGTTCGTAAACTTGTTGCCAACGAGATGCCAACTTCATTATACCCCTCTCGTAGAAGGCTGCGTCTCTATTGGCAAAAAACTCGCAGAGCCAATTTTCACAGGCTTCTCTTGAGGCCAACTTCTCGCGTTCGCCAATGACAGGAAATTATGATAATCACTTGGTCCGGACTATAAAGTGGATGCATTAGCACCTTCCATCCGAGCTTCTGGAGCTTCTGGCGCGTCACCAAAGACGTGTGTGGCCTGGCGTTGTCGTGATGGAACACAATTCGTACTCTGATGATCAAAGATGACCTCTTCGTCCCGTCGTTTCTTAGATAAAAACCGAACGAACTTTTTACTTGACCTAATATTATTGGAAAAGAGACGTGATACGTCAAGCTAAGGAATGAAGTATTAATAGTTTATTGAGAACCCGCGCATCTTCATTGACTTAACAGTCTTTCCAGCAGGATAGCGGTTGAAACGTAAAGGCATAGACGTTTTAAATTGGCCTACTCAGACCCCTGATCTCAACCCTAATAAGAACCTATTGGAGATCGTAAATATTGAAATTAATAGGGAAAACTTTAGGATTAAAAACGAATTACTTAAGGCTATAAAATTAGCATGGGAAGTCATATTCCAGGATGTTATCGATAATTTGATATTTTCAATGCCTAAAAGATGCGCTGCAGTCATCAGCAAATTTAAAAAAAAAAATTTAGTAAAATAAAAATTAATTTCCAATTAATTTGTTTAAAGAAAGCAGCACTAGAAAAAAAATGCTCGGGAGGTGCTTTAGTTTTGAACAGTACTGTAGGTTAAGATTTGGGATATCACAGAATCTAAAAATCATTTAAAATTTTTCTGAGGTCATGAAAAATATAATTAAAATAAAATTAAAAAAAGATATTCCACCCTAATGTGCGTATAAAAAATGTTATTTTTTTTCAGAAATACTCATTTACTATTTATTTATGTTTATGGCGGCCGGTCAGTCATGTGCTCGTCCGATTAAGCGCATCAGCAAAAACAAACAAAAAGTGTGTGGCACTGTCGAGCATCCATTAGAAAGCGAATGACAATAACATTAGTGGCAGAATAAAATGCCATGGGGAAGCAGAAGCATGATCGTCTCATGTGAGTCTGAATAAAGTCAATCTCACGTAGTCATGTGTTCAAAGCTTGACTTGGCTTTGAGGTGAGGTTTTTGCTTTGCTTGTTTCGTTTTATTTATATTTTAATTTTGTTATTATAATTCCTTTTATGTTGCCATTATTGGTTTTTTATTTATTATTTTCTCTTTTTTTTCTTTTTACTGTTACTGCAGCTGTCACCGCTATGATTGTGTTCAAGAAAAACTTCTAAGGTGTAACTGCATCGGCTGCGTTTTGTGTTTGTCGTTTCAGTGTTTATTATTTGTTATTTGAGCTATTGCTGTTGATCGGCTGCTGTTGACCTGTTGACGTTAGGAGGTGCACGCATGCGCAGCTACAGCTACTACCGTCGTGTGCATACACATTCGTGCGCAAGTTGTTTTTTTTTTTACTTGTTATACGTACGTTTGTACAGTTGTTGTATTCATATTTTGCGGCTGCTTGCAGTCTAGACGTTTACGTTAGCATAATTGTGTCACATATTGATGACGTCATGGCAGATTGTATTTTAATGTAATGTTTTCGGTATGCAACGAGCGAGTGGGGATCACACTTGGCTCTCATTGTGACACGAAATTAGTTTCAAGAGGCCTCAGCGTTGAGTATTTTAAGAATTCATACTTAATAAGTCAGTATTTTGCAGTTTTTGTCATAATGAGAATTCCTTTAAATATATCCCTTCTCGATGATATTTCTATTTAAAAAAAATTCATTTGGTCATGAAGAAGTTCGTTCCCCGCTCTGAAGGAATACAGGTGTGGAAGAATCCGTCCAGAGGTAGAAGAAGACCTCCACTACGTTGGAAGCATCCTGTGGAGACCGCCAAACAGCTTAGAGATGATACTAATGTCGCGCTATTGTCTTAAGTGTTGCCTACCTCAGTGTAGAGGAAGAAGATGTTCCGCTGCCAATGGCTTAAGCGTTGCCTACGTCAGTGTAGAGAAAGAAGATGTACCGCTGCCAACGGAACTATTGGTCAAAGGAAAGGCTGAATACATCGCTATGAAGAGAAAAAAGGTTGGATATATTGCAATATATATTAATCGACTTCAGCGCCAGCGGTATGGAAACATACCGAGAGTTGAAGAGGGAAGGAGCATTTGTAGAGAAGATATCTGTAGACAGAGAAAGAGATAGACTGAAGTGCTTGAGCTTAAAGAACTTGAGCAGATGGCCCAAAAGGGAAATGTTTGAAAACTCTGCAAATAATTTGACGTTTTCGGAAGGTTCAAGACCAGAGGTTTTTCGTAGGAACCGGAAAGGGGATTTGAAGACTGACTTACTGAGTTTATGTAAGTGACCTGCAGACCTGGAGATGCCGAAATTTGAACTTCATTCGATTGTGGTCAATCAAAGTTTCCATTGCCTGAATATGACAAAGTGCGAAACGAGCCATTCACGCATGGCGAAGAACTGACCAGGTGAATAAATTAGGTTCTTTGCAGGAGAAAATATTAAGATTTTCTTAGCTAAGTAGGAAAGGTACAATCACTTATAAGAGTCTACAATTGCTGATGTATGTCAATGATCTTGACTTCAAAATTATGTTTTCTTCAAAGTAAATTAGCAAGAGAAGATAGTGGGTTTGGTAGGGAATGATGGCAAGACTAAATATCTTTTATCTTTAATTAAACCGTTGTTGAAGGTCAAAACTTCGACGTCGTAAATAATTCCGTCTATTTAGGGACCAGAAAAGATACCGAATTCAACACACAATCACTCTCACCAATAGGTGCTACCATATACAGAGTAGGCAATTGAAAAATTCTCTCCACAAGCAACCGCCCTATTCTAAAAGTCGCTCTTCATCCCAGTTCTAATCAATGCATCTTCACCATAGAAGCTCAGAACAATCGCGGAGGATTTATAGCTCTCGGGGTACCAATGGCGGCAAATGTCTTAGACGTTGGAACGATATGCTCTCGGGTTAGAAGCTCAAGAATGCACGCGTGGTAAGACATGCCTAAGATAAGAGGCGGCTAAAACCAAATAAATTCCATCACAGTCTGGTCCAAGGACTGGCACTCCCCGAAATTCCCCGAAAACTGATTCGGCTATAGCAACAACATCAACGATGGGACGATGAACTGTTTGAGATATACGGCATTGATATGGTTCAGCGATTGAAGAAATTGCATAGTCGGCACTTACGCCGACGAAGCGGAATAAAGACGCTGAACACGCACGATTTTCTTAGTTATACAATTAATTATGCCAGATTTACCTACAAATTTTGTCCTTTTTTTGGCTTCCGCTTAATGTAATATTTGCATATTAATATTGGGTTGACAAATTATTTCGGTCCATTCTCAAAAGCTGGCTCCACCAGCAAGTTGGAAGCGATTACCTATTTGATAGGAAATGTTTTACATCTGTCAACAATAATTGGTGTACATCAGCGTCTGTTTCTGTCTTTTGCCTTGTTGAAAATATCTTCGGAAGATTTTGATTTTCTATTTTAATTGGAAGAAAAGTGCGGGGGAACTCCATCGCATGCTTATCATCTTCATCGTGAATCTTCGATACTTTGGATACTTCAAAAGTGGTGATTTTAGCGTCAGAAGATAAAGAGCGTTCTGACCAACCCAAAAACATTGCGTAAAAATGAGATGAAACGTACGTAAAGCATAACAAGGTGATTTTGTAACATGACAACATAGCTATAACAGTCAAAAACTACCTAGAAATACCAAAATTGGAGGCCTTAGCCCAGCTGCCTTATTCCCCAGGCCTTGCGCCTTCCGACTTTTGGGTTTTTCGACGGCTGCAAAACGATTTGAAGTGGACGTTGAGGAACTATACTTTATATGATTTTCTTATTTTATTTTTTCAATAAAAAAAACACAAGAAAAGGACTGAAATTCTTAACCGAATTATTAATTAAAATAAATTATTAAATAAGTTAATATTAATTTATATACCCGATTTAAAAATATAATATTAAATAAAAGAAAAACTAAAATAATTAATTGGAAACCAAAATTTATTAATTTTTTGTTTAATGTAAAAATTGTTGTTTTAATTGACATAAAAATAAAAAAAAAAATCGAACACAACTGACAGAGTAAAGAAAATGTGCAGCTGTGAAGCAAAACATAACAAATATCAACAAATTCACCACACTCACCCAACTCTGTCAAACTGATTATGGCAAAGCAACTCGAACAGTTTTACACGCTTGCCGTAGCAAAAAAAAAAAAACAAATATTCGTATGCATTTATTTCTGCGTACAACAGTTGGTGAGCAAACAATTGCTCGAATGTCTTGTGACGCATTCTACAGTCAAACTGTTGCGCGCAACGCGATACTCCGCACGCCGACTCTAAGTGACATCAAAGTGCGGCTAATGAATATCGGTTTAGTCTCAGCTGCCGCTTAACTGCTATCAGCTGCATTTCATTTTACACCAGCAAAGCAAAGCAGAGCTTTCACAATAGCAAAAGCTTTAAAGTTGTCGCTGCTGCCGTCACCACCGCCGCCACTGCCGACAGATAATAATGCGTCAACTCTTTGTTGGTGGCAGCGTTGGGTTGATTGGTTTTTTCGGCGGCACTTGGCCAAACCGTTCAGTTGTTCGTTGGACATATGCCAAAGCGGTGGCGTTCGCGGTTAACACCACCAAAGGTACTTTGCGAAGAGGAAAAGTGAAGCTGTTAAAGATAAAAAGAAAATTATTTTGAGAAATTCTGCCAAACAGAAATTCTGTGTGTGTGTTTAATATTAGCGTACAACGTGCAAATGTGAAAAAGAAATTTGTTATTTTTTAAAACGAATGTTTTTTTTTGACGAAAAATAGTACAATTAAAATTCGAAGAAACGGAAAATTAGAAACCGCAAAACTCGGCGTGTGGAAAGGTGCGAAACCTTAGTGAGCGCGGGGAAATTATACCTTTAAGTATAAATAAACATAAACAAGAATTTTACAGTGGCTATATTTGTGCAATCATTACAACACAATACCTTGACGATTTTTATTGGGAAAGTCATCAATTTGGACTAATTGGCTGAACACGTAAAAGAACCACGGCAATTAATGGTTAAACTTGACAAATTGATCGTATTACTCAAAAGAACTTCATTAGCTGTTGTTCAGTTGTTGTGATACAAATTGCTTTTGCAACTATTGAGTGCTTAACAAAAGATTTAAGCGACGAACTTGCCTGCAGTGAAGCCTTCCGTACAATTATTAATTTTGTTGTGTTTTTCTTTTTTTGAACATAAAGTAGCTGTTACTGGTGTATTTATTAATTAATACTACACTGTTTTCGTTGCTGGCACTTATTTTATAATATTGGAAATATCAAGATAGCGTTGTTTCTTGCTAATATTGAAGCTGTCACATTGAGGGTTAATAAAATGATATTAAGGTGAGTTATGAGTTTACAACTCCAATGAAAAGTAGAAAAAACTTAAGTAGGAGTAAATTATTAAACAAGCTAAGTATATATACAATACAAAAAATAAAAATAATGAATTTGGAAATAAGTTCCGGTTATTTATTTTATGTTGCAGAATTAAATCTATATTAAATTACCACAAAGCAGCAGTGTTTTTCAGTTTTTATTAAAGTAAAAAAAAAAATATTTGAGCTGTTTCAGTTTCATATTCTTTTTGGACAATCTGTTTATAGATTTCTTATCAGTTTTATTTATTGTTGCTCTGCAATTTTTTAATTTAATTATTTTTTCATAAATTTTTATTTTTCTTCTGCTATATTTCTAATGTTTTAGGCGTTTTTACGGAACTTTTAGTATTTACAACAAATGTTTTATTTTTATTTTTTTTATATAAATTTTTCAATCTGAATTCCGTTTATATATTTTTTAAGCCTATTAATTTTAAATATTTCCTTAAAAGCTTTTTTTGGTAATTTTAAATATTTTTATTTTAATTTTGCAATATTTATGCTAAGTATTTTTTTTTTAACTTTTAAGTTTTTCTGTGCAGACTTTCTTATGGGTTTTTAAAATTAAATTTTCTACAAGCTTTTGCATTACTTAATTTAAAAAAAATTGTTTTAATAAATTTATGAGTAAAATTCAATGAAACGTTAAATCATTTATTTTAGGATTCCTCAAAATTTTTATATTACATTTTTTACATTTCTTTTTTAGTTTAATTATTAGTTCATCTTTATTACTCATTTCAATTATTTTTTTTTAAATTTTATTTAAAAATATAATAAACTTATTTCAAAACTAATAATTTTTCAATTATTAAGACTTATAACTTTATTTTATTGTCGTTTTGCATTTATTTAAAAAATTGTTATATTTTTTTTTAAATATATACATATTTTAATTTTAATTTTATTAATTTTATTAATTTTAAATTTTTCTTAAAAGATTTTTTAAATAAATTTTAATATTTTTGTGATAATTTTGCAATATTTATACTTAGTTCTTATTTTTGTTTTCAATTTTTAAATTTTTCTGCATATTTTTTTTTATGGGTTTTTAAAATTGAGTTTTCTACAAGTATTAAAATTAAGCTAAATTTTTAAAATTTAATTTTCCACATGTATTAAAATTCTTATATTTAAAGAGAAATATTTATGTATATACTTTCTTTGGTTTTCGATTCCTTAAATTTTTTATTTAGGTCAAAATATATAAAAATATATTATATTAAAAATAGTTTCCTCATGTTTTTTTTTAACTTGGTTAAAATCTTTTAATAATTTAGTTTAATTCTTTGCTTTTACTTTAACTTTTTACAAGCAGTTTTTCTATAATCTTATTTTTTTAAGTTTAAATTTACTTATTGTATTATCTACTTTAACCTTTATAACAGCTTCTCATGCCGTAAAGCGCCACATACATCAGTGACATACATTATCTTGTTCTCTATAAGGTGCAGTACATACATAACTCGTTTTTGTATGTTGTTTTTATACTTCGTTTTCTTTCATATATATGTATCTTCTTTCATTTAATTTCTTTTTCTCATTATTTATGTATTAATTCTATGCGACAAATGGAGTTCATCGTATTCTTGATGACTTCTTACTCATTTCGTATTCAGGTTAAATGCGTGGTCAGTGTAATGTAAAAAAAAATATGTTAAAGCTGTTTGAATTGGAAGAAAAAAGGAAACAAAATTAAGAGTGAAGAAATTGAAAAAAAGTAGTGTCACTTGCTTGCTGAAGATTTCTTTTCTACAAGACGTACTCTCTTGTAAACATCGAGCCAATGAATAAACAGCTTCAAATATATTGTCTTTCAAATTAACTTACCTAAAAGTGCAATTGCCATATTGAACACCTGCATTCAATTATTGAGTTTCAACTGAAAAAATGAAAAATTTTTGAAATTTAGCTGCATATATTTTTGTGTTATTGTTCAAAAATAAAATTTTCTTACCAAACTCTTTTGTGTGGGACAAATGCTGTGCCACAATGTATTTTTATGTATTTATGCAATTTATTGTTTTTCATATGCTCATTAGATTCATTATGTTCAAGAAGGTATTATGTTTTATGTTGGTCTGTCTTTTGTGTAGTCAAGTGGTGGGGAATCAATTTAAACATAATTGATTTTTTAATTTTACACAAAGAAATATTTATGTGCTCAAAAAGGCGTTAATATTTAAATATTTTGTTGTTATAGAGGAATTTGTTTGTATTTGAAACTGAATATACAATGGTATTTTTAACTGTTTGGAAGTGGAAAGTTATATTTCAATTTTTATTTAATTTGAGGGAAAAGCCATATTAAGTGCTTACGGTTGCAAAGTAGAAGATTTGGTTTATGTACACATCTTAGATAAATTAATAGTTAAGAACTACCATCCATCTCATGCAAGAGTCGCTTTTATCTTTACCACGAAAATCATCTTAAACCAAAAAGTGAATTGGTCCATTACAAGAAAAAAATGTTCAAGTAACTTCTTGTATGGAATAAGTGATTTGTAAAGTCACTTAAAAGTAGGAAAAAAGGACTTCTTCTAATCAATGCAATACATTTTTTACTGAACCAAATAACTTTTAATTAAAAGTCATGTATTTTAAGGGAAACTTTTTTTTTCTAGAAATTAAGCACGTTAGATCTGTCATAAAGCAAACGCTGGGATATTTATTTCAATGCAAAGAGGAAGATATGGCAAAAATAAAGGATGGCAATATCAGCCGAATGACCGTCACGCCTACTCTTACAGGACTGTATCCTTTTTATGGAATTTTCCATCACCAAATCACAAAATGGCTGCTGTATGCACTTAACAGCTTCACGAATTACTTCTTTGCGGTCTTGAATCGACATTGGCCTGTTGGTGGAGACATTATCTTTCATGATAAAGATCACCGCTTCGAAAGATAAATTAGTCCAGAAACTGTTCCTTTAAAAGGTCGATGACTTCGTTGCTTGTGCGGCATGTAGCTCCGTTTTGTTAAAAAGAAATGCTGTCCAGATAAATACCTTCCATGTTTGGCCATAAAAACCAATAAGCATATCTCGATAGTGCAATCCATTCACCCTAACTGCTGCTCTAGCCTAATTTTCGTAAAGCTGAAGCATGAAACATATCAAACAATTACACGTTGAAAATGGCGAGGCTGGCCAATAATAAACCTGGAGTTTTTCAAATCCCAGATGCGACAATTTGCTTATTGACTTGGTCATCAAGGTGGAAATGGGCCTCATCTGTCGTCATTTTTACTTTTAAAATATCAGAAAATTACAATTTCAGAATAGACATCTGCCAGGCTATTCAAAATAGCGCCCAAGTAACAACACTTAGTAACTGCTGATATGATTTCCCGGCAAACTTTTCGTTCAACTTGTGGTTTTCGTGTTGATATTTTTCTTTCCTATAAATGATTCATTCTAAGCAGCCTTGAAACGACTGACGGTACTTAGATAAAAAGAATACTGAATACTTTTGTATATAATTATTTGATTCACTGTTTTAAGCTTAATTTTTTTCAATTTATTATAAATATTTAAGATCAAACTTTTAAAATCTCAAGTTTTCTTTAACAGACTATTTTTTGAGATATGTTTTTCACATATTTTTTTATAGTTTTCGACAAAACTGGCAATTGGTTTTTCGTTTGCCCAGAAAAACTCGCTAAAAGTAAATTTCATACTCCTCGGAGGCATGCAAAACTTCACTATTAATAATTAATTATTTATTTTTCACTACTGAGAAATGTAATAAAACCAAAAAAAAATTTTAAATCAATTTAAAATATAAAAAATTATCAGAAAATAATTATCTTGTAAATTCACAGTTGAAATTTGAATTTGTTTTATTTTTCATTCGGTACTCACAATTTCGCTTTAACTAAATAAATTTTCACGTACTTCTAATGACTTCCGTCGCAGCTCAGTTGACTGAGTTGCGACGAACAAAAGACTTAAGACACGAACTCGTTGGGAAATGTGTATAGTGCAACTCTTCCTTGTGAATTAATTAAGTTAAATTAGCGGTTTTCTAGTATTGAAATAAAATTTCACTTAGTATTAAACACAAATTTCACTTTCTTTTGCCTATTATCTCAGCGCTCATGGCTCGTGGCTTGAATTGTCGGCAAAATATAATTTACAATAGTATTCCCCTAGATTTTTGTTTACTTTTTTAACTGCACACATTGTTAATTAAGTTGTTTCGTAAATAGATAATTAAATAGATAATTAGATGACTAATTGAGTATTTTATTAGTACCACTAAATCTACTATTAAGCATTTGTTGTGTGAAAATGATAATCAAAACAAACCAAACGCTTAAATAACCCTTGTGCTAGTGGTAAAATGATTTATTTATACAATAATTTAATTTAGCTTTTATTTATAAGATTTATTAACCACCAAAATTGATTTATCAAACCTGCCATTGATTTTGAAATAAAATGCAATCTATTCTGCAACGCTCCGCTGCACTCACATTGACTTTGAATCACTTGCCCTCAACGTTGTACTCGAATTTTTATGTGTTTGTTATTTTTGTTGCATGCTTTAGCGACCAGTCAGTCAGTCACGGATGCAAAATGCCTGCAAGTTTGGTTTATGCACACATTCTGCACACTTCACTGACCCACCTCCTTCTTCATTTGTTTTAATTTGCTTGCTTTGCGTTGGGCCAATGGGCGTGTTCTGTACGTGAGTTCCAATGTATGTATGTAGGCATGCATAAGTGCTGTTTGGTACTTCCTTAAGGTTGACCGCTGTACGTATTGCCTCCAGCATTATTGTGTTCACACCTTAATATTGACGGCTACGTTGAATACAAAATACCGAACGGGAGGTGAAAGATAAATAAATAAAATAAAATAAAATGTAAACAAAAAAAAAATATCAAGAAAAATGAGTTATCGTGACGTTGTTGCCGGCATTGTGTTTGCATAAATTATTGCCAAGTTATTACTAA